CAGTTTGGCAGGTTATTGTACCAATTGTGATGATCTTTTCTGATACACTAATTTTTTATGATTCAGAGTTTACAAAGTTTGATAAGCCTTAAATTAAATTAGTGTATCATTTTTTGGAAAAAAAAAATAAAACAATTTAGTGGTTGAAAATGAATTTTTGCCAAGTAGTACAATAACATGACACTGGCTATGATATTATAATCTGCTTATGATCCAAACTAAGGACCAAAGAAGCATCATAACAAAGGACATTAAGTAACAATATCAGTATAACATTTGTAACTATCATTTTACCATATACTTAAACAATATTTTTTACACTGAACTTAACAAACCAGTACATTGTATTAGTTTCAACTCTTTAATAAAATCACACTCAAACCAAATCTCATCCCCATAGAGAAACAAACCAAGAACTATTAGCACTGATCCATTCATCATATGTCCATTCCTGATCACAAAAGTCATAAGTCAACATCCACTCGGTCAACCTAGTTTCGTAAGGCGAAGCAGTCAAAGTCAACATCTCGAGCTTATCACTTGAATCGCGATCCGAGGGTCCCGATTCGTCGTGGATCGAACAAGGGCTGGCCGTTCCAGATTCCGATCTCAGTAATGAATTGTTTGTTGTGCTACTTGAGCATTCTATGCATGCAAGAGATTTTCCATCAAAATTTATGTGTTTCAACTTTCAATTAATGTTGTTATTAACACTTGAAAACTTTGTTATATATATGTATATATACATAATTTGCTATTTCATTACCTTTTTGATCAAGAACACTACCTTTCTTCCTCAAGTGACTTCTCCAATAGTTCTTTATCTCGTTGTCTGTTCTTCCCGGCAATCTCCTTGCAATTTTAGACCACCTAACATATCGGAAAACCTTTAGACATATTCAATTTACATAAAATTATAAAATATATATATTAACTATCATCTTTAACACATTAACAACATCAAGACTATAGCTTATAGCTTATAAGTACGTACTTATTGCCCCATTTTTCGTGTAGTTCGGATATTATTTTTTCTTCCTCATGAGAAATATTTCCGTGCTTTAAATTGGGACGTAAATAGTTCAGCCATCGTAGCCTGCAACTCTTTCCGCTCCTTCGTAAACCTTCATATATAGATACAACACTTATATTATATCCTTGTTTTGTCATAATATACTCACAAAANCAAAAAAAAAAAAAAAAAAAAATGTAACTAATTAATCTTGAAAATTTTATATACAAAAACCTGATGATTTTGCTAATGCATCCCATCTTCTATTGCCTAAAACAGCCACGGCTGCAGCTAGTTGTTCGTCCTCTTCCTCGATCCACGGCCCTTTACGCAGTTCGGTTTTTTGCATGACTATTATGAGCTGTAATTAAATAGCCTATTATAGTAATGTTTGCCTTAATTGTGCAGGTTAGGCTAAGTTTTTATACTTTGCAAAAGTTGCCAAAGGAGGGAAAAAAATAGAGCACCATGCAAATAAAGGAAAAAAGGGGAAATTTAAAAATTAGAAAAAGAGTGACCAGAACTTTGTTACATGTAAATATGAACTCACGATGGTGGGATATTGTGTGAACTCCACCACTATCAGCTTAATTAATACCATGATTATGTGGTATGAACTTTTATCATAGTCATTATGTCATCAAAGGGACTATAAATTAATTAGGAAATAACACATGAGGATAAATTCTAATCTATCACACATCTTTATTTTTTTCTGTAAATAAGATTGGAATTTTCTAGTACAAACAGTTCTTATCCCCTGTTACAACTTACAAGTTGCAATTTTCTAGTACAAAAAGCTCTTATCCCCTGTTACAACTTACAAGTTGCAAGCTTAATTAGCCTGTGTCCTGCATTTTAATTATTTTTTTTTTTTATGTTAGACAATCATATTTTTTCATATTTAATAGATATACACACATTCATATTAAAATATTGTAATTAAGAAAACAATTATATACAAAAATATGATTTTTCATAGTATAAGTATGTATTTTTGTTAAAAAATATATGACGAGTCAATTCACCTAATGATGAGTACAACCTAACTACAATATTCGTGTTGTATATACTCCATGAGCAAGGTCTTGTTTGGATTATAGCCGATAGCTAGTTGTATTCGCAAATAACAGACTGTATTAGTTGATTTGACTAGTGAATTCAATTAACGGTTTATCAAATTAATAAACATTTGATATATAGCGAAAATTAATAGTTTTCATATTTCACGTTTTATTACATTTTTTTTAACTTCTTTCCAAAATGTTGTTCTTTTGAACTTTGTCAGAATTAGCGTTCTTTGTCGAAAAATTAATTAAATAAATTCATTACCAAACAAATTTATTAGCGAATTTAATTGGTCAATCATTTAAATGAGGTTTAATATATATGCTAATTTAAAAACAAATTGATAACAAACAAATGAGTTCCAATTCAGCATAAATATTTTGCATGGTACAATTTTATTGGATGACATAATTAGTAGGCTATATAAATTCAAACTAGGAGTTTATATCAGTGCACACCTTAAGATAGCATATATATAAATTCAAAGGGGGGCTTAAAAGTTAAAAGCCATTATCATCAATTGTCATTAAGTGCTTAGGGCACTAACAAATGGTGATAAAATCTTGCATCACTAGTCTATTTTTACCATTATCCTCAATTCATCGTTATGCCAAAACCTTTATTTGCTGCTAAACTAAGTCTATCATCTTTCATTAATCCAAGAAATAAAACTATAAAAAATTGTGTGACCTTTTTAAAAATCTAATCTGTTTGGCAATCACAAGGTACGTGCTTCTTCAATTATACTATAGTTACAGAATTGAACCTCACCCCTATATAGACAAGAAAATGTTGCTGTATGAAAATTTATTTTTTCCATGATATGACAGATAAAAATCGTGTGATGTAAGTGGGCAGGTGTGATAAAGTGGGGGACAGAGACTTTCTAGACACCAAAATATTCCAGGATAATATTGGCCATTCGTGTTTCATTT